TTTTGTGTAATCTATAAAACACAAATGGGCATCATTCCGCATTTGTATTTCTCTCCCTAATGATATGCTTAAAAAAAAAAGATTTTTTGATATCATCACCATCATCATCATAATAATCATCATCATCAGTCTCATGACGAGGCGGGGGTCGTAGGGTCAATGCGCATTTGAGCATATGACCATATATCTCAATCTTGACTGTGTGCATATATCTAGTTTGACAGAGCGTAGCTTTAATCTCCCCAAAGATGAAGAAGAGACTTGAAGCAACAGAAATATGCCTCTGCAGAAGGATGATGAGGATAGCATGGACCGAATATGTGAGCAACGTCAACATTCTACAGAAAATGGAAACGAAAAGGAAACTTATACTTAACACCGGGAAAAGAAAGCCGAAATTTCTAGGACATAATGAGGAAAGAGGGCATGGAAAATCTGATACTTACAGGACAGATTGAACGCAAGAAGGACTGAACAAAACAGCGCATGACCTACGTAGAGAGATTGAGTAAACGGAATGATGGAGCAAGGATTAGGAGAAACAACAAAAAGTCAAAATTTATTAACAGCCACAAAGGACAGGGAAATGTGGAGAGCCATGATCCTGGGAGAACACGGTACAGGAAGAAGATTGTTCTGTTTAATTACACCTGACGCACCTTATCCCTCCTCATGACAGACCACAGCGGAAGTCCTCCGACTTAAAGGCTCGTCTTGTCACGGGCACATGGCTCAATGCCAACGTCGACAGAGCCTAAATATATTATTAATTCTCTAATACGAAAATACTCAGTTTCATATGCTAACAGTCATCAAGCGGAAATTATGTCTGCCTGACGATTGATATCATATGAAATTAGCATGAATTAATAATGTTATTATAACTGTTACCATTATTTACACTATTTATATTGTTCGGACTGTTGTTCTCATCTTTATTGTCATATTAAAGAAGTTTCGGCCATTGTACGCTCAGGACTTCTTCAGGTGATATACATGGTCCAGTCGATAAAAGTGTTGGTTGAAGTAAACCAAAAAGTGAGTTGACCCTATGTATTGTAAGTTCAATACGTAGCCACAGCAGAGGTGGGAAAAAAACTTAAGTTGCTAAAAGGGAATTAACTGAAACTGGGATTATCTATTTCCTGTTCGTGGAATTTGCCATCGCCTGGGACATAGTAGATGAACATAACCTGTTTTAATTTGGAGTCATAAGCATGGCTTCTCCAAACATAATATCTTCATATTATATATATAAGACCTTACCTTTTTTTCTCTATACACTCTGCTTTCCCCGTGTAGGTATGTGATATATTTTTCCCCGCGTGTGACACTTGTTTATATGCTTTTGTGTATGTCCTAGTGGTACAAAAGCATGTGTGTCATTCCTTTTCTTTCAGCAATTCCATGAAGTTCAGTGTCATTATATCAGGGATATAATAATGCCCGAAATGGGGGAAACGTAATAGGAGATTAAATCTTTCTTCTCTAGCTATCAGCTGTTATACAGAAATGGACATAGTAGGTGTCCGGTTTAAATTATTATTTCTTTTTTTTTTAGATGCGTGGAAAGTTGAGGAGGTAAAAACTTGACCATGTAAAATATTCAACTCGTCTACAAATAAATAAATAAATAATAGAAAGCAGATAAAGTATAAATCCATAATTTTATGTTCAAGAAATACAGAGCACAATGTTTTTTTTCTATTTATATATGGCAACGGACGTAGTAGTAGACACATGCATACGTGCGAATATTTAACAGAAAAATACTCAGCTCGATACAATTGCGTTATTTGAAGGGTATAACCTTAATAATAGATGCTTGAAATTGTTTTTAGAATGTTAGAATTTTTTAGATAATGATTTTTACAGACATAAGTTCTATGAATTAACCCATAGATGGTGGAGGGCGAGAGGGACGGATTTATATCTTTCCTAAGGGTATTTGTGCGGAAGTAAATATAATGAGCCCGACTGGAATTCAACCTAGAATCCAAGCTTACAGCATCTTTTATTCCCAAGTCAACGTCTATCAAGCTACCTACCGTCCGGTTCACGCTCCTCGATTTTTTGAAGAGAAGTAGCGGTTTATCCCTGGTTAAGGGTTTAGTATGGGGTTTCCAGTTACTTTGAAAGTCTTGTCATCCTATTTCATTCACTGTAATCCCTTATGTCTTTGTGGCATTATTTTAGCTGATTATTTTAAGCAGCGGTAAAAATCGAATGACAGACATAAAAACACCCACCCAAGAGAGAAGATACTTGTTTATATCCATACGAGAATGCAGATTCCACGCTTGGAAGGTGTCAATAAAATATAATTTCCTGCATGTGTGATTAAGCTTCCTGTTTTTATAAGTAACGTGCAACCACAGTGTTACATTTACAAACTTACAAAAACGTGCCAAATGACATGCTGCAATAGGCTGTTCGCCAATGGGAGATAATTCGAAATGCTATACTTACAGCGAATCGCCTGCAAGTCGACCATCAGCTCTGCCAATACACATATACATTCCACTACGACCAACGCGCAGACCAAAATCAGCACTGGTCGACTGTGAAGAGACTTTAGCGTTTTCGATCTGCAACTGTAAAAAAAGAAAAGAAAGAAAACAAATGAAAAAGATGAATAAAACATGAGGGTATTATTTATAAGTTCATACACGATTTGGGAGAAATTCTGTTCACCGATATGAGATGCCCAAATTTATATGTTGTAGGGACAATATATTCGTAAGAATGATATATAGTAATAGATTCGGGAATGATCCGAACACACGCCAGAGATTCCAGGTCTTATCTCACGCAACAGCTTGTTAAAAGAGTTGCACTATAAATAAATTTATCATCTGCTTTTATGCTTATGTGTCTACCAGCTTTTACAGTATAAATAGCATCATTATACAGAACTATACAATTTTACAACGTGTTATATATATATATATATATATATATATATATATATATATATATATATATATATATATATATATATATATATATATATATATATATATAAAAATATTACTATCATCATTATACAGAACCATACAATTTTACAACACGAATATATATATATATATATATATATATGAGAAAATATTAGTAGATAACACTAAATTACTCTACAGTACCTAGTGCAAGGAAAGGCTCAAAATCCTTGTTAAAAAATTGCAATATACATAAACTTATGCTTGTGTCTACCAGCTTTACAGTATAAACAGCATCAGTATACAA